CATTTTTGATGAGGCGGTCCAGAACCCAAATAGGTAAAGTAAACTTTAGGCATTTTGATGATGAAAGGCATGAGAAGCAGTAGCTGTTAATGAAGGAAAAGCAAAACATTACATAGTCTCATTAATAAGAGCACTGTCTTTAGATAATGGACCAAGGAAGGGTAGAATGAGTATGAATAATGAGTAGCATAAACAGGTTTTATATTAGCACAAATATGTAATTGAATGGTTTATAAAACAATAATTATGTTAGTGGGGGAGAAGGAAGAGACAGTATGAAGACTAGCAGTTTTTAAAAGACGCAGTATACCTGTAACATAATGTTAGTGTTGAGATTAAAAATTTTTTGTAAAGATCTGACAAGCTGCAAACAGCTTAACTCATAGAGTAGAATTATAATCTGTATGAAAACAAGAAGTAATACCATTAATAATAGTAACCGCTGTTTTAGAAGAGGAGCCATCTGTAAAAACCAAGCTAGCATTTTGTAGAGGTTGAGCACTGGTAACCTGAAGAAAGATAAAAGAATGATTTTTTTTTTTGTATAAGTAAGAAGTGGAGAAGGAGGATAGTGGAGAAGGAGGATAGGATTGTCATCAGGCGGGCCTCCAAGGCTGGCTCCCAACACACAGTGGCTCATGCCTGTAATTCCAGCAATTCGAGAGGCTGAGGCAGAAGGAAGGATTGCTTAAGCCCAGGAGCTCAAGACAGCCCAGGCAACACAGTGAGACTTCATCTCTCTAAAAAATTTAAAAATTAGCCAGGCATGGTGGCGCATGCCTATAGACCCAGCTACTTGGGAGGTTGAGGCGGGAGGATCACTTGAGTCCAGAAGGTTGAGGCTGTAGTGAGCTGGATTGTACCACTGCACTTCAACCTGGGTAACAAAGACTGCCTCAAAAACAAAAACAAAAAATAAGATAAAATTTATAAATTAGAAATTACTGTAAACGTAATAATCCTTAAGTTCTGAGAGAAATGTACTACAGTCTACAAAAGAACAAGTCAAAAGGTTCTACAACCTCAAGGCAGGGGAGAAGCTCTTGACCACGGTTACGGTGAGCTAAGGGAAGGCTGGGGTGCTTTGGAGGTGACTGAGCTGTTGTCAATATGTCTGCACTAGAGGGGTTCCTCTGACAGCATCAGCATTTGGACTCATCTATAAACTCGGGGGCCAGGGAACAATACAAATATTATAATGAGGTTGAGTGGTCTTAGGAGACCTTTAAAGATCTTACAGCTGTAACCTGCACATTCTAAAATAAAGTCAGCAATTGAGAAAATGAAGATACACATTTCAAAGGAGAGAATTCTGACCTAGGACTTTCTCAGCAAAGGAAACTGACGATGGAATCAAAAACTAAAGAGGGAACAGAGATCCTGGAAAATCCCAAAAGCATTACCCAGTCGAAATATACAATAAACCCTACCATACTTATGTCCTTCCAAAAACAGCACGAAATGGCTTGATGGGAACCTGCATGTCTGGAGGGAGCCAAGCCCAGTCCCCTGCTCTCTCTACTCCCAATGTCACAAGGCAGAATCCTGAGAGGCAGGATTTTACTTTAACTGTATCCAATAAAGCCTGTGGTGGCAGCGGCTGGCTGTGAACACCACAGTGGAGGATAGAGTAAAGAGGGGCTGGATGAAGGTGACCCGTGGGAGAGCTGTGAGTGGACTGTGTTTATGGCAGAGTCAAGAGATGCTTGTTAATCAACAGAAAAGGGAACATGACGGTTCTCATTTTGAATCCAAGATTCAAATCTCCCAAGATAATGACAAGATTTTTGGGCTCTCCATTTTCAGATAGTTCTGTATTGACCCGCATTTTAAAATCCATCAGGAAGCCCTTCTATAAACACTGTTTATTTCACCCTGAATATTTCAAAACAGTGAATTGGAGCTGCAATAGACAGCCCGCACCCTCCACTACTCCTCAGCAGCCTCCTCCCTTCTGAATACCGCATTTCCCAAATCTGCATTCACTTGGTCTACCGAGCCTCCACTTCTTTCCCTGACGTGGTGAGCCTCCACCCTGTTTGCCTTCACTGAGTGTATAACTGGCAGTCACTCTTTTTCAAAGCAGGTCCAACAGTCACTTCTACGAAGTCTTCAAAACGTACAATGGATTCTTTTTCTCAGAGAGGAATGGGCTGAAGAAACACAAAACACTTGCAAAAAGAAAATGCAAAGACAAATGTGTCCAGCCTTTCTTGACCTTAGTGACATGACTATATCATTCAACAAATATTCATGGAGTGGCTGTTTGAACGAAGCAACACAGTTCTTTCTTACTTCACTTCCCATCTTCAAGCACCTATGTCATTATTAAATCCAATTAAAATCAAAGTGACTGTATTTCTGATTGTCAAGGAATCCTTTTCCTCTTCCCATGAGCCAGTCAGCACTTATAAATGGTACATCAGCTTTCTAGAAAATTGTACAGACTCAGCCACAGAATGAGAGAACTGATTTGTGACAATTCATCATCTGTTGGCCCATGTTTCTTTATTGCACAAGTTTAATGCACAGGTAAACAGGTAGCCTCTGTCTCCCATCAATACAGACCCCTCTCTCCCAAGGTCAGACAGGAGGGACATGAAAACATCCATCTGGTCCTGGATCTAAAAGGTATTTTCTAATTCAGCTTCAATAGTAATGAAGCTCACATTTTAAATCTTATACTTGAGTTCATTTCTCAATTGGTTTACGATGTATAGAGAACAGGAATGTGATGGCGGTACCCAAGCTATAAACCAACCAGAAGACAGAAAAGTCTGGATTGAGTAAGAGATTAAATAGATCAACAAGATCAATCACCCACACCATCCACTTCTCTTCCTTTACTAAGTCAACAGCTAGATGCCAGAATTTCAGTTCACAATCATTTTGACACTGGGTTTTCCCCTGTCATCTTATGGAAGGTAGGTAGTTTGGTGGTTGATAGTCACAAAAATAACATAACCCCTATAGGCACATTTTTTTTCTGGATGTGGTGTGTGTGTGTATTTTAAAGATGTGGGGTACAGGTTGGGCACGGTGGCTCAAGCCTGTAACCCCAGCACTTTGGGAAGCCAAGGTGAGAGGACTGCCTAAGCCCAGGGGTTTGAGACCAGCCTGGGCAACTTGGCAAGACCTTGCCTCTATAATACATCAAAAAAATTAGCCGGGTGTGGTAGCGCATGCCTGTAGTTCCAGCTACTTGGAAGGCTGAGGCGGAAGGATCATCTGAGCCCAGCAGATCGACAATGAGGTGGCCGTGAGTGTACCACTGCACTCTAGCCTGGGTGACAGAGTGAGACTCTGACCCCAAAAAAAAGATGTGGGGTAAAACTCAGGATTAGGTATAAAAATGGTCATTGTATAGGTAAAGTTTGGGCCTCCCTTTGGTCCCCACTTGGCCTGGTTTGAGATCGGGTACCTTTATTAATGTGATGCGCCCCCCATCCCCAGCAGTTTCTGGTTACTGCCAATCCATTTCTTATAGTATTATGGCAAATGTTCAGGGTCAGCTAATGAGTAAGAACTTGTGGTACTCAGTTCTTTGTTTTTGAGATAAATCACTGAGTTATAATTATAGACTCTAAATCCATCCAAGTTGCTGTGAAGTTACAGGCACATTTAAAAAATTCAGCTAGAAGTTATGGTCTTCTTAACCTGATAAATACAGCAACATAAAATCTACAGGTAAAAATTTTAAATATGAACCTACCCGATTCCAAAAACAGCTTTACAGAGTATACAACAGATACAATTTATATAAACACAACATCTCTATGCTTTTATTATGGAATAGGCCAATCTCTTTCCTTGTTTTAGATAACCCAACTCGCTCAGGTTCATGCTTCACCTGCCTACCACCGCCCCCCCACCATGGACATACTCAAAAATACCAAGAAGTACTAAAAAAGAAGCCCAAGGTTTCCAAGTAACTCCAAAAGGGCCCCTTTCTGTAAGGAGTCCTATCAAGTTACCTCCTCCATCCACAGAACACCAACCAGCCAGTCTAGTGCTTCTGGCCATGGCACCCAAAGACAAGAGGCCTATGGCCAGCTTCTGGGCCTCAAAACACACTCACACATCCTATTTCTTCATGGACCTACTGACTTCTTTCAGATTCTATAGTTCAAAACGATGTCCTTAAGTTAATCTACTAAGTCATTGCTAACCCATCTAGTAGAGCACCTTTGTAACCATATTAACCCAATCCTATTTCCCAACAAATCTCAAGTTTTCCCCCTCTGACCGACCCCAACATGTACTTTAGTTCCTCATCTCCCTTATGTATCTTGTTATTTACTGATTCATAAAGCTACCAGAAAGCCTTCATGTTCTGGACAGGGAGGATATTTTCCCCTCACTGTCTACATTTACTTCATCAAATTCCCCTGAGGCTTCTGTTCATTCTTGTTACTGCTAGTCCATCCTATTCCACTGCTTCCTCTCAATACTACTTCCTTTTAGCTTCCTCTATATCCAGTCTCCTGGAAATAGTATTAGCTAGCTTTTGCCCAACCTTCATATATTTCTTCAACTCAGTTATTACAAAAGCTACCATACTTCATAAACATAGTGATTTAACTTTAACCACCTTCTAATGTGGAAGTGTTCTCATTTTATCCTACAGATAAGTAAAACCAAAATCCGAAGCCTGAGGAAAAAGCATTAACATATAGAATGTTTGTTGGCTGACATTTGGCCCATTTTAAAGCACTTATTAGTTCAGTTGGCATAAAGTTAAATAATGACCTTCAGTTTTTCGTTGGTAGGAAAAAGTATATATCATTTACTCCTCTCAGAGGAGCAACCCAATACATACCTCTGTAGAAAACACGTTTCTTCTGGATTTATCCAAATAACAGAATAAATCCACATTATTTCATTATTTTCAAAAAGACTAAAGCTTGTCTTACAGACAGCATGAACTCAGTATGCCAAAAGATGTCAGATTTAATTAGACCACTGCTGAAACTTGAAACTTAGTAAGAGGCTGTAGTTACCTCTTTTTGTAGATGAAGTTTGAAGCAACTGTTTGGCTTTGAGGGAAGTACGAGGCAAATTTTTCAGCCTTTGCGAAGCTGTTGAAAAATAAGGAACTGTAACACTTGCCTGGAAGTACAAGATAAAGGCTACAGCGTCTGCACACTTGTATTCAAATACAAACTTGAAAATTTATCAAGGAACAGAAACCATAAGTGCAAATATGTTAGAATCCTAGCAGCAAAGAAATTTGAAAGTGATGCTTAGTGCATTAAGTTGGAAAGGAAAGGGGATGGAACATAGACTTAACAGTTTCTTATAGATGAGAAAATCTCCAATGCCAACAGTCCAAATATCAAAGAGAAAACAAACCACTAGCAAACATGCCACAGGATGCAAAGAATACAAAGATGAAAGTGACGGGTACAAGCACACAGCATCTAATAAAATAAAGCAGCGCTTGTTCAGTGCAAAAAAGCAGATTTTGGCCAAAGCAGTTATTGTTAGATGAATTGCCCTGATATAAAACAATAACCCCCACACTCAAAAAGGAGAAGAAAACTCAGAACCAGGCAGGTCCTCAGGAAGTCACACTTTCATGTACTCCTATTATCTTGCTGTGGAAAACAACTGGCTTCTATTTCAGACTCTGGACAGCTGTACCTAGGCTGAGCACATATGCAGGTGGTGTGAGGGTAAGTGGGGTAAGGACTTTGTGGAGTCAGAGCATCTGCCTGAAAGTTACCAGTGAGGAGAGTTAAGCTTTCTTCTAAACTTCCAGTCTAGTAACTTCATTGACACTCTCAAAGTCAGCATGGAAAAAGCAGCCCAGGTCGCCCAGGGTCCCAATCATTCCAATCCCATGACCACAGTTACAATGACTCAGGAACACCCACCAGTGTGGCTCTTTAAGCAGCTCTAAAATCTCTCTCCCTCCTGCTGCTTAACTCTACCAGAAATGGAAAACGACTGCTTCCCCACAGATAATGAACTTCTTTAAAGCAACAAATGTATTTGATCTCAAATTTTACAGCTCTCCAAATATTACTGTAACCAAGTAACTCATATATTGCCAGGCACACTAGCAAAAAATTCTCCATACTTTAACAAAAAAAATCAGATTTATAATGGGTGACTTTATTCCTGTGCCACAAAAATACAGGTTCCTATCATCACTGAATATTCTTCATCCATATATTTATTTATTCATGTTTTCACCCATTTATACTGTTCCATGCATTCATTCCTACATTCTTTCCTTCATTTAAACAGTTTAGCATCTGCTTTATTCTAGGTACTGTTTCAGATACAGTGGATCCAGGAGCCAACTAGACACAGTTCCTACCCTCACAGAACTAATACTCAACCATCAAAGCAGTCAACTACATGGCCTGCCAGACACTAATGGCTGCTAGGGAGAGAAGTAGGAGAGGACAGGAAGTGGAGATGTAAGTTGCAGTGAGAGTTATCAAGAAAGACTTCCCTAGGAAGATATGTGCACAAAGATATGAAGGAGGAGAGGGAGGGAGCCATGAAGGTGCCCGGGGAAAGCATTCCTGATGGAGGGAACAGCAACTGGAAAGGCCTCTGGTGTGTTTGCAGAATAGAGAGCAGGCTGTGGCCGGAGTGGAGTGAGTCAGAGATGGACAGCCGACTGCTCGCACAGTGACAAGCACCATCTCTCACCTGTACAGCATCTTAACGAGGGCTCAATATAGAAGACCACCTATCAGGAACTCATCTGGAAAGAACCTGTTCAAATTAAGCTCTCTGGTGACTCAGTGACTTCAGCTGTCCCTCAAGTTTCATGGTGTCTATGTATAAGAAAACCTGTCCCCTAGGAATTCAGAGAGTCAGATTACACACAGAAACAGGCAGGAAGCTCTAATGTTACCTGATACAGACAGAATAAAATGTACAACTTTCCTGAAATACAACAATCACATAAGTGACTCAAAGAACAAAACTAAATTTTTATCTGAATTATCAATCTTAATTTGATCAGTTTTCTAAAGACAAAACCATTTTTGAAATCACAAAGTGTAGTTTAACTAGAACTCTCCAGTTATTTCTAAAATAACAGAATTCAATGTGTTAGCCAATTGAAGATATTCATGGTTTAGTATTTTCCTTGGTTTCTTTTAGTATTTATATAATTCCACTCTAGCAAGACCCCAAGGTAAGAAGCAAAGATGCTGCAGAACAATTTATTCCATGCTTCCACGACTTGGGTCAGGGTTTTCCTGTACAAACCAGCACCTCTAAAGACCTCTTTTCTGTTCAACACATACCACCATTTTGCAAGTCATTCTAACTCAAAATGTTCTTACTTTAAATTCCATTATTCATGCCCTAGAGTCTCTTAGCTCCACCATTTCCTTGCATCTTTGTTGTCTCCTAAGTAGCCAAGTCAGACCACCATTCCTCTCTTTCTGGATTAGACCACCATCACTCTCTTTCTGGATTAGACTACTATCTCTCTATTTTTGGATTAGACCACCATCCCTCTCTTTCTGGATTAGACCACCATCTCTCTCTTTCTGAATTAGACTACTATCTCTCTATTTTTGGATTAGACCACCATCCCTCTCTTTCTAGATTAGACCACCATCCCTCTCTTTCTGGATTAGACCACCATCACTCTCTTTCTGGAGTAGACCGCCATCACTCTCTTTCTGGATTAGATCATCATCACTATTTTTGGATTAGACCACCATCACTATTTTTAGATTACAACAGTGCCCCTGGGCATCTCCCTATACCCAACCCTTTCCACTCCATTCATGTACATCAAAGGAAAGGTAGTGGAAGCACTGGCCCTGTCCAATGTAGGCAATCTGTGGGTGTACTGTCTGTAGGGAATTTAAAAACAAACATAAAACCAACTTGGTTTGCTCTCTATGACCACCAAGCCTTGGCAATCATAATCAACATCAGTGGACAAAACATTTCTCCCTGAACAAACAGCTGGTCTATGTTATAAACAACAGTGACAACATGTGTATGCTTTTAATCAGTATTACTCAATCCTTTAACAAACACTACATTTCACATCAAAGTTAATTCAGAGAACTCTCAGCTACAGTCTCCCATGACATAGGTAGATTCAAGAGTACGTTCACAGTCATTCAAAATCACTTACACTTACTTCAGTAGAGTTGGGATATTATAATATTTAACACATGAGAACGAAACAGTGACAGTACAGTGATTGAAAAGCCAGTGAAAGAGAGTATGAGTTACCTAGATTCTGTGATTACATGTGACTATGAACTTGTGTTTAAAATGTCTCAACTGTTAAGAAGACATTTATAAAAACCATTAGACTTGAGCCCTCAAAAACAAAGACATGAAAAATATAACAATTTCTGGAAGTCAAAATGGAATTTTATGACTCTCTGCTGAACTTATCCTTATGCCAAAGACTTTCTCTGTTTGTACAGCAGTTGCTTCATGAAAGAAAAATACTTTCAAAGTTAAAATTTAAAGATGGTATTCCTCCTTCAAATATGAGTGAAGATAGATGGAGTCTCAATATTGAGAGGTCAATTCCGAAGAGGATACTGTCAAGTTTCAGAAGCCAAAGTTGTCCATATTCATTACTGTGACAGATCAATATGTGACATTTTTCCTTTTTTAAAAAAAGATGACTATAACTTAAAATTATTAATCCATTATCTTTTTTCTTTTGTACTGTAAAGTTGATTTTATTACTTATTTTTTTACTGGCAAGGTTATAAGATCAAAGTTCAACAGAATATGTTCACTGTCTGTATTTTTTCCTGGCCATTGCTGCTGTGACTTATCTTATGATTATTACTGAACATCATTTTGTCATAGGTAGGGGACGTTAAAAATACTCTTCTCCAGATGCTCCATGCTAAGTAAGTGGAAGCTTCGGGTAATGAACGTTAATCACCCCTGCACGACACGAGGTCTACACACTTACATTCAGAGTCACCCTTCAATGCACTCATTCCCCATTTCCCATCTTCTCAATGCTACCAAGACACTTTTTATCCACTTAACTTCTAAAAATTCACCCAGATCCTGTCACCCTTCACCATTGCCTTTGTTCGGATCTTCATTGCTTGCCCAGATTTTGCAGGAATAGCCTTCTAAGTCATTTACAGTCTCTCTTCACTGAATCTATTTTCCATATTGGTACCAGAGTGAACTTTCTAAGAAATAACCTTCATGAAAAGCCTGCCGTGGCTCCTCCCAATTACAGGATGAAGTTCAGGTGCCTGACGGTGACATCTGAGAATGCACCTGGCCTGTCCCCTGTCTACAGTTCTCTGGCCTGTCACTACACCCACTCCCTCCTCCATCACACACTCTACACTTCAGTTACACAAAACCACTAGAATCAGGCTGCCATTTTCAAGACTTTTCATTACTGATCCCACTGTTGGGAAAACCTATCCCTTGTTTCTCTGGCAACTCCTAAACTCCTCCTGAGCTGGCTTACATCCTTTCTGAAGGCCCCTTCACAGTACAGTTTAATGCCTCTCCCCTGTTCCCACAGAATTTTCTGCCTGTCACTCACTGCTACTAGAAGGCAGAGACTATCCTATTCATATTTATATTCCCAGTGCTTGGAACACAACATACGCCCAATAATATCTACTGAATAATTAAGGGACACAGGTGTGTCCCTACCGGATAAAATCTAGAGCCCCAAACTAAGCATTCAGGGTCCTCCACTGTCAGGGTCTAACACAGTGGTTCTCAAACTTGAACTTAACAAGAATCAGCTGAGATGCTTCCAAAAAATAGTCTGGGTCCCCACTCCAAGTGTATTCAAAATTTCCAGAGATAAAATTCTATTTATAAATCTCCTTGTGATCAGATAGTTGACTCAATATCGCTGCACTACTTATCCTTAAATAGATGCTCTGTAACTATTTTATTTATTATTAGACTGCCCTTTACACATATTTATTATGACTTATTTATTTTCATTCATGTTTCAAAATTATGTAAAACTCAAATGTTATGTCTGAGTGTTTTGGTAGTAAGTGACATCAGTAGTAGATGACTCCTCCCTCGAGGGCCCCAGTGCTACCTGGTTGTGCCCAGGCAGACAGCTGTCCTG